GGGATGACAGGACACAAAAAACACAAACACAGACAGCGTTGATTGTAGAAAAATGGATGAAGATTTTTACTATTTTTCTGCATTCACATCACGAAGCACGCACGATGAGCAGCAAGAAGAAGACGCAGCAGCAGCCCGAAGGTGTTGCTTCACACTTGATGTGCCTGTGACTGTGTGTCTGTGTCTGTGTGTCTGTGTCTTGTGGTGTGTTTGTCTGTACCTTCCATGTCTCCTCCATCTCTATCTCCCTCTCTCCTCCCCGTCCATCACCCTGCCTCCCTGCTCCTCTTCATCCCCAACACTCCCAAACTCACATCTCCTGCCTCCTGCCACAAATGCACTTCCCAACCTCGCCACAGGCCCCGTGCCCATCGTGGCGGCTGGCCACAGCAAGAAAGTGCAGCTGGTGCGTCCAGACGTTGTGTCGCTTCGTGCTTTGCTGTCGTGTCACAACTGCGAGTACGTGTTGATGTGAGCTCACCCGTCTTCTTCTTCGTTGTCATTCGCATGTCCGCTTTATGCCATGGGAACAGGAGGAGGGCAAGACATACTTCTGGTGCGCATGCGGTACGTCAACCGCCCCCCCCCCCTCAACACACACACGCGCGTTCTTGCTGCATTGTAACTCAGCTCACAGACGCGCTCTTCCCCATGCATGCGAAGACACACACGTGCGCGCGAACACAGACATCTGACACACATGCACGACTCACACCGAGACACACGCGCGCTGACGCTCCGCTTGCCCGCTGTGTGTTGTTTGTTCATGCTTAGGCCGGTCGCAGAACCAGCCGTTCTGCGATGGCTCGCACAAGGGCACGGGCTTTGAGCCGCTCAAGTTTGTGGCGGAGAAGACCGAGGTCCGCGGCCTCTGCCAGTGCAAGTGAGTATCGTGTGTGTGTGTGTGTGTGTGTGTCTGTCTGTCTGTGCATGCGTATCTGTGTAGCTATGTGTGTGTGTGTCTGTCTGTCTGTGCATGCGTATCTGTGTAGCTATGTGTGTGTGTGTGTGTGTGTGTGTGTGTCTGAGTCTGTCGCTGTGTCTGTCTTCTTTCCTGGTATGCATGGCTGACGTGGCTCTGTTACATCTCCCGTTTGTGTTCGCCTGCCTGTACAACTGACCCACCACTCCATCGACCCTGCGTGCTTAATCCTTGTCGTTGCTTGGTCTCAGGTTCACCAAGAAGCCACCATTCTGCGATGTAAGACAAGCAACATACGTGTGTGTGTGTGTGTGTGTGTGTGTGTGTGTCGTCTGACTGGCTGTCTGTGTGTCGATCTGTGCCAATGGCTCTTGTTGCTGTGTGCCGTTGCACAATTGTTAACCTTTGATGCGCGGCGTCTGATCCACGCAACCTCTCACTCTGTGTACGTGTGTGTCTGCGCGTATGATTCAGGGCATGCACCGTGACCCGTCTGTGCTCAAGACGTACAACCAACAGCTGCTGCGGGTGAGCTGCATGTCGCTGATTCATGGATGATGTTGCTGGTGCTGTTGGTGGTGTAATGGCGTAATGACTGTGACTTTTGTGACCACAGGGGTTGGTTGGATGTCTTGCACTGTGATAACTTTGGTCTTTCCACCTTCAACGTTTTCGCATGCTCATTGCGTACTCACACACACACACACACACACACACACACACACACACACGCACACACACACACACACACACACACACACACACTTCACTCGCTTCACTTACTTCACTCACTCACATACTTTCCCACTCACACACTTGCAAACACTTACATACGGACACGCTACCACCACCACCACCACCACCAGCGCAACAGCGAGTTGGTCGGGGAGGTTGCGGCCATGAAGCGTCAGATGCAGCTCCTCACCGCCGCTGTCGTCGCCATCGCCGCCGGCGCCACTGCCTTTGCCTGGCACAGGAGCACGCGCTGAACCACACGCACAGCGCACTGCTGTTTGTCTGTGTATGTGTGTGTGTCTGTCTGTGTGTGTGTGTGTCTGCGTGTGTGTGTGTCAGTGTGTGTCAGTGTGTGTGTCTGTCTGTGTGTGTGTGTGTGTCTGTGTACATTAATGCGTCTGGTTTGCCTTCCTGGCTGCCTTTTGCTGTATGCACCGCACCTGTGTTGCAGCACCGTGGCATTCACGTCTTGATGCGAACACGCTGTTGTGACGTGTGTGTTTGGCTGTCATCTTTATTGCAATAGTTCATCTGTAGCCGCTGGCTCGCTTCATGCGTCGCACACGCACACATGCACGTGCACACACACAGGCCACTGTCAGAAGGAAGAAATTAAACCTTGTGCATATCTGACCAGAACAACACTCAAGTGCCGCAACGCACACCAACAATACAATGCATATCTGACCAGAACAACACTCAAGTGCCGCAACGCACACCAACAATACAACACGTGACATGTCGAATGGCAGTGGCACATTCCATTGTGCCACGTGCTGTCACGAAGAGAATACAACCTCCCCCCCCCCCACACACACACACACATATCAAGTTACAGTACTGACACAACACACAGTTGCAGTGCGAATTGCTTGTGCCCTCCGTCCACATCGCGTGGCCCCCTAATCCCCTCCCAGCATGCATTGTTGTTGCGATGTCTTGTTGCGTTACGCGTCCGAGGAAGTGGTGTCAAGCTCGTTTCTGCCGCGCGAGAGTGTCACGTTGTGTGTGGAAGGGGAAAGAGCATACGAACATGCACAGTGACGTGAGTGCTGGGACGCAGAGAAGGCAACAAACAACACAGCAAGGTCAAGTAACAGCACCAAATCCAAGCACTTCACTCACTTCACCACCGAACACACAGCGTCACAACCATCCATCCATCCATCCATCCATCCATTCATTCATAGCCAATGGCCACCGTACGATGTCTGTATTGGGGTGACGGACGATACATCGCTGGTTGGCGCCGGAGTGACAACAGCAGACAGCTTCCGCCTGAACACACAGGGTGATCGTGGTGTGTCATGGTGGGTGGAGAGTATGTATGTGTGTGTGTGTGTGCGTGTGTGTGTGTGTGCGTGTGTGTGTGTGAGTGAGTGATTGAGTGAGTGTGCGCGTGTGTGAGTGAGTGATTGAGTGAGTGTGCGCGTGTGTGTGAGTGAGTGAGTGAGTGTGATTGAGTGAGTGTGCGCGTGTGTGTGTATGAGTGAAGTGAGTACAGATACACTACAGGCGTTGACAAAGCGACATACCACTCACCACCACCAAGCATGCTGCTTCGTCTCCCCTACCCCTCCCGTCCATTCCACCGACACCACCACCACCACACCATGGTGCTGTTGCTGCAGTGCACGTGTGTACCCACAGGTTTGGCAATTTGGCGCGGATGCCGGTTGACGATCGACGTCGCTGTGGTTGATCAAGATGAATCTCCTCCACCCCATCACCACCACCATCATCATCATCACCATCATCATCATCATCATCACCATCACCACCACGACTGCCGTTCTCTTCATCGTCAGCGCCACCGACATCCTCCTCCTCCTTCTCCTCCTCTTGTTGCTCCTGTTCCACGCTCTTCTTGTCACCTTCGTCACCACTCTCATCGCCACTATTGCTGCCCGCCTTGCGTGATGATGTTGGCTGTGATTGGACAGCCACCCTGCTGCCCTGACCGTCCTCATCTGCCATCTGCTTCCTGTCGTTGTCCCCCTTTCCTTCCTCCTCCTTCCCCTCATCCTCCACCTTCTCCTTCTTCTCTTCGTCCACTGTAGCATGAGCACCACTCCGGCTCACAACCTCTCCCCTGTTTGCTGTCACCACGGGCAGCGGCGCTGTGACCCGCGTTCTGCTCGGGACCGTCCTTGCAGGCAACACCACGCCCCCTCCACCGCTACCGCCGCTACTGTTCCCAGTGCGGTTGTTTGGCAAGCGGTTTGGAAGCGCAATTCGGCCAACGGCACCGGCAACGCTGGGCACGCGACGTGGGGGCAGCCCACCACGAACCACCGGCACACGCACACCGCGACTCGCGTTGGTGGTGCCGTTGCTGCTGTCGTTGTCACTGCTGTTGTTTCCTGAAGTGCTGCCAGCGTTGTTCTTCGTGCCATCGACAGCACCGCCTCCGCCACCAGTAGTGCTCGTGCTGGTGTTGGCGGTGTTCAGGGGGCGGATGCGGATGCGGGCGTTGGGGGCGCGGCGTGAGTCTTTGAGCCGATCACCAAACGACCGCTTGGGTCCCAGGGCAGTACCCCCAACACCTCCACCAGGCGTCGTGGCAAACGCATGGCCGGTGCTGTTGTTGTTGTTGTTGTTGCTGTTGTTGTTGTCGACAGTGTTGTTGTCGTCAGTGTTGCTGTTGAAACCGTTTGCGTCGCTGCTGTTGGCTGCAGCGGTGAGCTGTTGGTGGCTCGTCTCGCTCGCTTCCGCAATCTTTTCAAACGGCACAACAGCCGCCCCGCTGGCAACGCCACTGCCTTTGCGTGGCGACGACAAGGGACTCATAACCGCGCCGTTGCTGTGAATCAGGCTGCCACCTCCAATGTCGTCATGACTGCCGATGGCGTTGTTGTTGCTGTTGTTGTTGTTGTTGAGCACGTTGCTGTTTGCCATCATCATACCGGGCGCCAACCCGAGCGAGGCCGGCTTGAACGAGCCCATGCTTGTCCGGCTCTCTGGCCGACTGCCGTTGCCTGCAAGCTCCAGTCCATTCCCGTTCCACTGTGAGCTCGCACGTGCGCTGGCGAGCTGCGAGCGGAGTTTCTCGTTCTCAATCATCAGCTCCTCCACGTGGGTGTGCGGGTCTGCGCCAGTGTCGTCCAGCCACGCGCACGTGCACGTGCGACAGCACACTGCGTCCACAATGCGGTCGTACAGGTCAGGGTTGTACTTGTATGCGTACATGACGATGCCGGCAGCTGCCACGACAATGAGCGGGATGAGCACGGCGGCGGCGATCCACGCACGTGGCCCCGAAGATGATGAGACGGTCGGGGCATTCGGGCTGCAGATGCCCCCCACAATGTCTTCGTTTGGACCGCACGCTAAGGCGTGGAGGAAAAGTATGATTGCGTGCACGTGCGTGCATGTGTGTTTGTGTGTGTGTGTGTGTGCGTGCATGTGTGTTTGTGATATTGTGTGTGTGCGTGTGTGATATTGTGTGTGTTTGTGTGATTGTGTGTGTGTGTGCGTCTCTGGGCGTGAGGAGGCGTGTAACCGCAACATTCACATGTAGTGCAGCATCTCGACTTGCACTTCTGCCCAGCAGCCCCCACCCTTAACCCCTTCCCTCCAACACACACACACACATACACACACACACACACCTTGCTTGCGGCAGACGACGGGAAAGGTTTCGAGGTTCGGTGTGGCGTAGTACCATGTGACGTTTCCCGTATCCCTGTCCTCGACAACCCTGATGACTTGGTTCTGCCGCTCGTTCCAGTCCCTGCTCTCCACATTGACCCACGCCGCGTCGAATGCCACAGCCTGAGATGCAAAGGAAAGGAGGACGGCAGGAGGTGGGTTGGTTTGTTGGTTTGTTGGTTGGTTGGTTGGTTGGTTGGTTGGTGAGTGTTGGTGTTTGGGCAGTGCATCACCGCAAGCCGTGTCGACAAGAATACAAAAGGGGCGCAAACACCCGCTACGACACACCGCAACACACAACGCGACCCAACACGACGACGCACCATGCTGAGGCCAGCCCAACGCCAGATGCCGTCGGCTTCGAGGGAGTTTGCGCCAATCCAAAACTCACGTGGGGCGATGCCGAGCAGGAAGCTTTGTTCGGCCTCACTTCGTGCGGGCGCCAGTTCACCGGCAAACCCTGTCGCTTGCTGGAGCACGCAGTAATGCAGTAACAAACGTGTTTGTGTTGTTGTTGTTGTTGTTGTTTACGTGAACGACCTTGATGCAGCGGGAAGAAGGACGCAACAACAGTACCCACGCACACTGTTCTTGCACCATGTGCCACACACACACACACACACACACACACACACACACACACACACACACACACACACACACACATACACGAAAAGGCATGAGCGCGCACCTCGCACAGGGCTTTGGCCTGGGTCCATGTGAGTGCGCGGGAAAAGGACTTGTAGCAGCCGACAATCTCGTTGGCGTCGTCACGGAACAGCTTCGCTCCATCCTTGCACGTTGCATCGTCAGGGGCGGTGTCTGCGTGATGGCCGGACGTGAGCGTCACGCGAGTGCATGTGGAGGACAAACACACACACACACACACACACAATCACGGAAGCACGGAAAGGAAGCGCACGACACAAGAAAGGAGGAAGGAGGAGGAGGCAGAAGAAGGAGGAGAGGGAGGAGGAGGAGGCAGAAGAAGGAGGAGAGGGAGGAGGAGGAGGCAGGAGAAGGAGGAGACAACGAACAACAACAGCAACAACAACTTAAACAACAACAACTTAAACAACAACAACAACACAGGCTGAGACTGACCAGCTGTTGTCGTCGTGACCACCATGCAGAGCAGCGGTAGCAGCAGCACTGCCACCATCAAGGGTGCTCTCATCCTCCTTGCTTCTTTGATGGTTTGTTTGTTCGTGCGAGGTGTTGCTGTTTGTTGTTGTGTTGTTGTTGTGTAGTTGGTTGGGGTTGTTGTATTTGATGAGGGTTGTTGTTTTGGGGAGTTTGTGTTGTCAAGCCAGGGCAATTTTGTCTTTGGGCCGTTGCTGTGAAGGTCAAATTTGACTTTTCCAACGAATCGACCTGTGCCGCTGATCGTTTGAAAATGATTGCATGGTCGCATGGTGGATACAAGGTTTTGATGCGCATTTCACCCGCATGCCGCGTGCGAAATCTACATTCCACACCAAAATCCCAAACATCATTCGGTTGAGTGCGTTGCGTGCTTGCAAGCAAGCAAAACACCGCACAACGAACTTCTGCCTCTCCCGCCACACACCACAAGCCACACAACGCACCCAAACCCAGCAGCGAAACCTGACCAGGTCAATCGTTGGTGGCGGTTGGTGGATGCTTTGACGGGCGGATGAACCGTTGCAGTGCAAGTGAAGAACGCCGCCAGAATGAGGCAAACCCAGCCAACCCAGCCACCCCCCCGCCAACGTCCAACGTTCACTTGCTGGTCTCTCCCTCGCTGCTTCCTTCTGTTGTCTGTCCGACCACCAGAAAGAAGGACAAGAAGCTGTGTGCTGGCTTGCTTGCTTGCTTGCACATCCACGCTGAGAGCTGAGGAAGCGAGCCAACTGATAGCCACAACGCTCGCTTGGTCTGACACCCTCATTCAACAAGCGAACCGTTGTTGGGGAACACGCTGCCCGTGTGTGCTGGCCTCCCTGACCGTGTGCTGTGCTCGTTGCCGCCGTCGTCTTGCTGGCCATTGCCATCCTCAAGGTGTGTGTGTGTGTTGAGGTTGTCAGGGTTCGACACACTGCCTTGGCGCTGCTTGCTGGTCGGCTGCGTGGTGTTTGCACACTGATCCTGGCACGGCGCGCGTGCGTGGTTGATGTGTTTGATTGATGGGTTGGTGTGTTGCTGCGCCTTCGGTTGGAGAGCTGCGCTCATCTTGGTGGCCAGTTCATAAGCCTGGCGGCGTGGCACCCGTGTGTTGTTCGCGTTGTGTTGTGTGTGTGTGTGTGTTGTGTGTTGTGTGTGTGTGTGTGTGTGTGTGTGTGTGTGTGTGTGTGTGTGTGTGTGTGTGTGTGTTGGTTGTTGACGTGCTTGCCTTCGCTTGCATTGGCCGTGCCCGCTCACTTTTCTCTGTGATTGCCTCACGTTCGTTGAACGGGCTGTGCGTGTCTGCCTTGGCTCTTTCTTGCCTGCTGCTTGTTGGTGCCGTTGCCAGTTGTCTTGACGACCTTGTCTCCAACCAGCCCTGGTTGTCTTGTTGCTCGCTCCACCCCCCTTCTTTGTATTCCTTCCACGAACAAAGGGGTGTGTGTGTGTGTGTGTGTATGTATGTGTGTGTGTGTGTGTGTGTGTGGCCGAGGTGATGATGATGAAGGTGGTGTTGAAGGTGCTAATGAAAGGTGGTGGGGTGCAACATGGTCACAGGCACAGGCACACGTACACACGCGCACACAGTGCATGTGGCTGCTTCCCCATCAGCCACCGTTGCAGGGTCGTCAAGATGCTCACGTTGCGACACACACGCACATACACACACACGCTCTCCCTGCCGTTGATGTGATGTGCTCGTGCACTCCTTGCTTGCTACACCAGCTACCATTCAACCGACCGTCATGATGAGCATGGCTGTAAACGACGCCGGCGCGCGGATTCGAAAGACGCCGAGACGAAGGGTCACCTACACCATCGACGAGGCCGACCTGCTCAAATACCCAAAGTCCATCCTCGCCCGATACCTCGTGGTACGTGTGTGTGTTTGTGTTGGGGGGGGGGGGTTGTGCGAGTGCCATGGGAGAGTTCTATGTGAGCGAGTGCCATGGGAGAGTTCTATGTGAGCGAGTGCCATGGGAGAGTTCAATGTGAGCGTGCAAGGGCGATGTGTATGTATGTGGCTCATGAAGAATCCATGATACACCAGAGTTGGCTGGTGCTCAGCGTGTAGCACCAAACACACACGAGCACAGCACACACAGAGCTCACCTCCCATTGCTTATTCCTTTCCCCACTGGCAGGATTGCGGGTTTGAGTCTGATCCTTCGAAGAAGCCATACATGCAAGAGCTGTGGCGACGATGGGACGCCTACAACGGCTTTCGCTTGCCAGGTGCATGCATGGCACGTGGCGTGTGTGATGGCAGCAGTGTACACGGTGGTTGCAGCGAGGGAGGGGAGGGCGTGTGGTATTGGTGTTGCTTAACGTGAGATTGATTGGTGCGGTGCCCCATTGACACGTCTTCCTTGTGCATGTCACGCGTTGACAGAAGTGGTGTGCGACCTTGGCGCCGGCAAGATGAAGGAGTTCAAGGACACGCTGGAAGCGGGGAACCTCTCCAAGAACGGGCGCAGGTAGGCGGGCGATGAAAGCGCAAGGGCAGGGGAACTTGGAGTAGTGACGGTTGTGTTGGTGTTGTTGTTGGCGCAGTACTTGTTTCCGTTGACTACGAGTGCTCTGTTTTTTGACACACTCACTCACACGCACACGCATGCACGTGTGACTGTGGGTGCAGGTATCTGCGCGAGGAGAGGGAGCGAAGAATGAACCGCGTACAGAAGCGAAACAGCAGGAAGCGCCTGGACACCACCAGCACGTGCGTTGGCCTCTCTGGGGTCTTGGGGGTGTTGTGTGTTGTGGCAGTGGACTGAGGGAGGCGCAGAGGATAGTCGGTGTTGTGTTGCCTGGCCGCAGGTTGAATCGATGGCACTCACATGTGTGTGCGTGTGCGTGTGATTGTGATTGTATGTGCGTGCAGAGGCAAGAAATCGCGCCCGCGCAGTCAGCGGCCCAGCGCAAACACGAGCAACCCGATGGGTGCCATGGTGCGTGTGGTGGTGGTGGTGGTGGTGGTGGTGGAGGAGGAAGAGATATCTCGGGACTTGTAAAGGCTTTACTTTGACTGTGAATGCTGCACTTTTTTCTGATGTACATGTGCAGCTTGTGTGCTTACATACTTGTGTTCTTACACACACACACACACACACACACACACACACACACACACACACACACACACACGCACACGCACGCACGCGCGCGCACACACACACACACATTGCCATGATGCAGGTTGGTCCTGATCGGACGCGTACGATGCCGCCAAACCTGATGCAGCTGTTCATGATGCCACCACCGGCTGGCAGCGGACAGCCGCAGTCAGACATGACAAAGCAACTCCTCGCCGCAGGTGTGTGCGTGCGTGCGTGCGTGTGTGCGTGTGTAAAGGGAATTGGGGGAGTGCGCACGCGTGCGAGAGTGCGTATCGAAAAATGAATGAGGCATGTGTGTCTGTGTGTTGACGCTCGGCCTTTTCTTTAAGTTCCACCTTTCCACTTCTTGTTACCATTTGTCCATGCTCACCACCACCACCACCACCTCCTCCCTCGTCATCCTCTGGCCCACGCAAATTGCACCCCAATCGGCGTTGCCTGCAGGGTACCAATCCACGCCGCTGTCGAGTGCACAGGCGCAGATGATGGGGCTGCCTCTGCTCTCCCCTCAGACTACCGCCGTCACACATCATCAACAACAACAACAACAACAACAACAACAACAACAACAACCGTCCGCCACAACCACGACCCCCACCCACAACAGCGCAGCCACATCAACCACGGTTCGTGTTGTTGAGTGTCGCGTGCTGTGGATGATGTGCGCTTGGTTGTTGGACACTCAACCGCACGCCACGCTCACGTTGTGCCTTTATTGTGCGTGCGTGCGTGCGTGCGTTTCTCTCACACACTCTTATTCAAACGCATTTACTCTCACACACTCTCATTCTCATTCTCACACATTCACCCACCATGTCGCCCCCCCCCCCTCTCTCTCTGTGCAGAACGCAACTCCACCTGCTGTCGTTCGCAGTTCTGTTTCAACCGCCACCACCGCGCTCGGTGTATCCCCACTTGCCAAAGAGTACGTCCACTGAATGTCTGCAATGTCGCAGGCGCGCACGTCTTCAGGCGTGCTCACGGTGTCATGTCCTTCAGGTTGCTTGCAAGCATGGATATTTGAACTTACCTTTCCTGGAACTCTGCACCTGTGTGTGTGTGTGTGTGTGTGTCATGCGCTCTTCATCGGACGTGAACTTGCAGGGAGGAGACAAAACAACAACAGTGAGTTTTTGATGCATTGCATGCATCTGTCAACCGTCTTTCAACGCACGTGCCGCACATGATGTGTGTCACCGTTCCCGCGATCTTCTTGCGAAGCTGTCGACTCACAACCACCACGGCAACCACCACCTCCACCACCACTGCTGTGCTGCTGCGATCGTAGGTCGACCTCTACCGCACCAACGGATCGAGGCCTTGGCTCCTCATCGTCTCTCTCCGCCACCACATCCACCAACGGCAGCGGACACCTGGCCACCACCAACAACAACAACAACAACACCAACAACAACAACAACAACACCAACAACAACACTTCCCCAGCTGCTGCGGCAGCGACTGCAAACGGAAACGGTCACACCAGCGCGGATCCAACGAGCGCGCACGCGACACTGATGCACGGCATCAGCCCATCGGTGCGTTGTTTGTTTGCTTGGTTGGTTGGTTTATTGTAGACGTGGTGCTCAAAGGAGATGGACGAGTGCACGTGTGGTTGCCTGCAGGCAAAAGAGTGGTGGTTCTCTGCTTGTTGCTGACCGCTGTTGCTTCTCTTCGTATTGGGCTGCGCTTGTTCCAGGTTGCCAACCACCTCCGCCTCATTTATCAGCACATGCAAGGAGGGGTGAGTGGTGCTCTGCATGTGCGCGTGTGCCTGTGTGTGTGTGCGCGTGTGTGTGTGTGTGCCTGTGTGCCTGTGTGTGTGTGTGTGTGCGCGCGCTGCCAACGACAGCAATAGTTGTCAATCGAAGCCTTCGCTTCGAATGTGTCGCTCATCGCACCACTTTCGTGCATGCATGCAATCCCCATGGGTGTTCTTTGTGTCTGCAGCAGCAGAATGCACCGCAGCCGGCACCGCAACAGGCGCAGAACTTGGCCGTTGTTGCCTCGTTGCTCGCACAGATGCAAGGCATGGGTGCCGGGCAGGCCTACGGGCCGACACAAACACACGGTTCGGTGACTGGGACAACGGCTGCTGCTTCCGCATCTGCATCGGCAGCAACAGTATCAGATAGCCAAACAGCGGCGGCACATGGACGTGAAGCAATGGAGGCAGGGCAACAGCAGGGCGAGCGGGCACAGTCGAATGTGCCCTGGCAGATGTCGCACTCACAGGCATCCTCGATGCTTGCACGCATTGGAGAGCAATACCGCAAGCAGGACAGGCCGGTGGTGGGAGAGGAAGATGGTGCGCAGTCACGCAAGCAGTCGTTCTTTGCTGGTGACGGCAGAGACAGGGATGAAACAGCAGGTGAGTCAACTAAAGACGCGAAGCAAAACTTGTTTCTTGGTGGTGGTGGAGGACGTATTTTGTCGCCTTCGCATTGCTCATGTTCACATTATTGTGTGTTGTGTTTGCTTGTTGGATGGACAGGATCTACGCTTCCTCCTCCACCACCGCAACCACATGGTAAATACCACACATGCCATGCGCTGCTGATGTCTGATGTGGTGAGATGCAGCCGTTACAAAACCGCAACTGTACACACACACACTCACTCACTCACTCGCTCACGCACACACACACACACACACACTCACTCTCACACACTCACTCACACACACACTCACTCACTCACTCACTCACTCACTCACTCACTCACTCACTCACTCACGCACGCACGCGTATGTGTTGACCCACCACACCAGCAGGGTTCCAGCCACCGTCGCTGGCGTCTGCGCTCAACATGACCGGGCCGTCACCGCTTCGCCCCCCGGATGCAAACGCACACGCCCAGTGCATGCAATTTCTTCAGCAGGTGCGTGCGTGTATGTGCACGCACTCCTTTGTCTGTTTGTCTGTGCGTGACTTGAAGGCAGCCGTGGTCATCACGCTCTTCACGACTGCATCCCCTCCCGTACAACTTGTCTTTGTCCTCCGTTCCTCACCCCGGATCACCACTGGCGCACATGTGTCATTGTTGCTGTCGTCATTACTATCAGGCGTGGGACAGCGGCCAGTTGCAGGCGCCGCCAACGCCAAACGTAACCAATGACTCATCATCATCACCACAGCAGCAGCAACAAGAAGGCGACGACGCTCCCAAGTCTCCGCCGAAGACATCAAATGCACAAGGTGCGCGACGTGTTGTTTGTGTGCGTGTGTGAGGGGGGGGGTGAAAGTGTAGGTATGCTATGCAACTGCGCTGCGGGCTTCGAGTGCTCACAACGTGTGTGCTCTTGGCTGCAGATCAAGCGCGCCTTCCCGCTGCTTTCTTCCCAGAGATGTTCTCGCCGCTCAAGGTAGGCGCGTGTCTGTGTGTAATGTATTGTGTGTATTGTGTAATGTGTTGTGTGGTGCGGTGTAGTTTGCGGTGTTGCGCAGTGCTCGCTTCTGGTCGTGCCTTTGTTTTGCTCGTGCTCGTCTGCATATCCATCCACACTCACGCACACGTACACACGCACGAACACAGACTGGAAGTCTCCCTGCCATCAACCTCAACTCACCCACCGCGTTTGAGGCATTTGCCACGCCTGATTTGGTAAGTAACGCCCGCCATTCAGTACATTTGCAATTGGGATGAGCTTTCACATGCTCGGACCTGCACAGCACGAGCTACAATTCTGCTATACTTATTTTTATTTTATGTTCTGTCAAAGCATCGATCGCACCTGTGTTGACATGCATGCACGTGCTTTTCCTTTCATCATCCCTCCGCCACCGCCTCTCTCACACACACACGCACACACGCACACCCCGCTTGCTGACATAATCGTGTGTCTGCAGTCTTCGTTTCATCCTCCGTTCAGCCCGCTCGCCGGCACCAGCGCGCAGACCGGCAGCGTGACGCCACAGAAGCAGCTGCGCTCCCCAAGCGGCGATGGCACGGGTCACCCCTCCATCCTGCTCGCGTCACCCCAGTTCTTGATTGGCCAGCCATCGCCTTTCACAAACTACCTCTACTCCCCGCTCGGATTTTCCTCCTTTTCCCCGCGCCGCTTCAGCCGTGAGTATCTTCGTGTGTGTGTGTGTGTGTGTGTGCGTGCGTGCGTGTGCGTGCGTGTGCGTGCGTGCGTGCGTGCGTGCGTGCGTGCGTGCGTGCGTGTCCATGACGCAAGCAAGAAGCGCTCTCACAGCTCATCTCTTCCTTCCCCCACCCCTTCACATTCCCCTATCATCTCGTTTGTTCCCTCTCCGTGCATCAGTGGACGAGGCCGCTGCTGCGGCCTCATCATCGTCGTCCGCCCTGCGCAGTCAACAGCAACAGCAGCAGCAGCAGCAGCAGTCCAGTGCATCGTCTGATGTCCCGAGTGGCGGTGAGCTTCATCTCCAGCCGGCGCCATCGCCGTACGGGGCGCCGGGCAGACGCACACGCACGCGCAAGGCCCGCAACCTCACCCTCCCAGGCAGCTCGCTCGGTACGTCGCGCGTGGACGACACAGACCTGCTTGCAGCGACGGAAACCGTGATCCGCACAGACGCGCCATCGGAGGGCAGCGTGGATGGCAGCAGCGGCGGCCACAGCAAGGGCGGTGCACGCGGCAACAAGCGCCGTGGCGGTGCTGGTCGTGGTGGCAGTGGCCGTGGCGGTGGCGGCAAGCGACGCGGTGGCGGCAGTGGTGGTGCAACGAAGCGCGCCAAGCAGAAGAAGTGATGGGGTGGGGGGGGCACGTTGTTGTTGTTGTTGTTGTGGTGGTGGTGGTGGTGGTGGTGGGAAAATGATTAGACAGATACCTTCTCTTCTTGGTTTGTGCGTGTGTTGGACTACACTGCTGCTGTCTGCGTTTTGTGGGTTGGTCGGTTGATTGATTGATGGTTCGTGTGGTAGTGTGGTGTGATGCTGTGATGGGTGATGCGACTGCGCTGTTTTCTTTCCTCTCTCCTTTTTTTTCCTTCCTTGTGTTACGACTGCACCTTCCGCGCGCTGTGGTGTTTGGCCATGATTGTTTGCTTGCTGCCTGCGTTTTGCCGCTTGGTTTTGTGTGAATGGGCTAAGTGTATTGAAGATCACGATCGATGACTGGAGTGAAGGCGACATGGCGTTGTGGTGGATTGAAATGAACTGCGAGCGTGAATGAATTGAGGGTCAATTGCGTGTGTGTGTGTGAGAGAGAGAGAGAGAGAGCTGGGGAGAGCAAACAGGCGCATGCGGGCTTAGGAGTCGAGGTCGAGGCAGGAAGGGACTAAACATAAAGACATGAATGAACACGAAGGCGGGCGGGAAGGAGAGGTAGCAGTGACCGTGAAGAGACAAAGGTGGGAGGGGTGGGCAGAGTCGACAGACTGATAGTCAAGCAATTGAGGCAAGACGGGAACACAGGTACGACTGATACAGGAGCATGACACGAGTGCACGAGCTGAAACAGAGCACAAGTACAAACAAATGACACATCTCAAGTACATTGGACGGATGGTTCCACAGTGCAACCAACAAGTGAGGAGGGGTGAATGACATGTCCAGAAAAGAACAAACACCATTTCGGGCAGATTCGGTGAAAGACATCATCAGATTGGGCAACAAACACAAAAGGCACAGGGGTGCAGGGGAACGCAAGGATGGGAAGGGTGCGACGAAGTTCACTTCAAGACTTCAGGCCAAGCATGCGCTTGACTTGAGCGTGGGCGTCGCGGCGAATGCTTTGTTTTTCTGGGTTGCCTTGGATACCGTTGAGCTCTGTGAGACAGTTGTACCGCGATGTGTGACGGAAATGAGATGAATATGAACGTATCCAGGTTACAGGGCGGATAATATGAAATGCTGCTGTAGCGTGAATCAAGAGCAAATCGATGCAGAGATCCTCACGGCGTTCGCGATGATCCAGTGTGTAGAAGGCGTCAGTCCTGTGCCTGCCGCGGTGGTCCAGGGGGAGGGCATACACAAAGCCATGGTCTTTGAGAAGCTTCCTATTGGAGACAACGAGAAACCTGTTTGGTGTGACACTCGCAAGGCGGCGCTCGTCATCTCTCACAATCCGCCACGCTGGGGCGGCTGTGTCTCCACTCGAGGCAACATATTGTTTTATGATTCTTCGAAATGCAGCCATCTTCTCGGGGCGGATCGTTCGTGCAAGCGCGTCGGCATGACGGGAAGGCTGGAGTGTGGCCGAGCGAATGTGAACAGCTTGGAGGTACGACGTAAATTCAAACCCGTCATTGCCGTCAACAAGAAGAGACGGCAGTGGCGTGGGAGGAACGCGAGTAGTTGCCAGCGTCACCACCCCGCGACCACCGGAAAGGGTTGAGAGTGGTGCTGCATATCGAAATGTTTGATGCGCATGATGTGCTTTAGCCTCACGACCCTTGGTGTTGTCATGTCGACCATCCCAGTCAGCTATAACTGCCCTCACTACAACCAAGTCGAGAAGCAGGCGGTTGTATGAAGAAGATGACGAGAAGCGGCAACAGTCATTTGTCTCACAGAAGAGGCATAATGGAAGCTTGATGCAAACAAGAGCACACAAGCGGCACCTGTACCTTGATCGCTGGTTTCACTCATAGCGGCTCGTGGTAGCAAGAGGTTGGTCACCGATGGGCGTTTTGGTCGTCGCAGCACGAATGACAGGCGAGGCGGCACGCTAGCAGTGACTCCACTGGCCGATACTAGATTGATTGTATTGATTGATTGAGTCTGCCCTACCTTGCTTGCCTGTTGATTGTGCTGTTTGTAAAGAGAGGGTTGCGTGTTTATGGTGCAGGTTATTCGTGGTGTTGATCGTTGTGTGTCTGTGTGGTCACACACAGACGACAGAAAGGCCGATACGAGTTTTCGCTTTCGAGTTGTGCTGTTGTGGCTTGTGTATGCTTGCACTGTGTCTGTTCAGGGCAAGGACAGGCTGCTTGTTGACAAGCTCACAAACAACAAGCTGACACACACACGCACACAGACACACGCACACAGACACACGCACAAACACACACACCGCTCAGGACGGCTTCTGCAACCTTCGGGTGGGAAACACTTCCAGCACTTTTTTTTCTCGAACCTTTGTAGTTGGGTTGCGAAGGTCCGAAATCTTCCATCGTCAGCTGTGACATGTGAATGGCTACTTGGGAACACGAAACAATGCCAGCTCTACTGTGCAATGCCGTCCATGTCACAGCTTTCAAAAGATAACTTCCATATCCACCCTTCCTTGCCCACATGCACTTAGAGCTTGTTTTCCCCCTCTGTGGTTGCCCGGGTATCAAAGCGATGTTCTCAAGCAGGAGGTGTCGAGGCAGAATTTGGCCACGGTGACGAAGTCGGAATTGGCTCACTCCTTTTTTGATACCTGATGACATCTGTTCCAAACTGGGAAAGTGACGGATTCTCACCGCGCGGCATGAGCTGTTGCTTGCGTCAAACACGGTAGAAATAATTGCAGGAAGAGCAAAACCTTTGCACGTAACGGATTCTTAGGACCACTTCTTTCCACGCCAGGGCTGTGGTGTGGTTGCGTGTCTCTGTGCCGTCGCTTCATTTCCTCATCTGCGCTCTGCATCCACAATCAACAGTGGCAAGTGCAAACGTCAAGACCAAGCTACAACGACCACTCACCCGCCTTTACCCCTTGCTACCATTTGCTTGTCGCGGCGAACAAACACGCAACGCGCGACAATCATGAGCGACCTCATCATGGCAATGCGCCAAGATGGCGAACAGCACGCCATCAGCGGACACGCCACACATTCCGTCCCAACCAAACTGGGGAGGACCAACAACAAGCGCCTACCACAGAGCGATTCTGCCAGTTCTAAGAAAAGCAAAGGTGTGTGTGTGTGTGTGTGTCATCTGGTTACTTTCTTGAGAATGTGGTTTGTGCTGGCATTTCATCTATGAATGTCGGACGTCGCATATTTCATATGAGATCACGATTTGGTGCCGTAGTTCTCATGTGAAAGGCATGACTGCTTTGTGTGTGTATGTGCGTGTGTGCACATGCCTGTGTGATTGCTTGGTTGTTGAACAGGTGAAGTATCACAAGATGCCATTTCTCACCGTGAACTTGACATGGCGACACCAGCAGAGACAGTTGACCTCAAGCCTGACGAAGAGGGGGCTGGTGAGTTCAAGCGCTTGTTTGTATGTGTGTGCGTGTGCGAGTAGTCCAGCTTGTCTGGCTTTGAATTGGATTGTCCCCATTTATCTCATTCCACCTCTTGTTTCATCGCTTGTTCCGGTGCCGATGTTGTCGTGCAATTGCAGAAGACGAGGCCTCGACCCTGAATGAGCTCCTCAAGCTCATCGATGAGTATGACGACAGAGACGCTTTGCACAGCTTCTTCGAGCGTCTGGAACAAGAGGAACACGACAGAGTGCGAGGTGTTGCAGTTCCCACATTGCACGCCGAATTCAGCAAGCTGATCTGCGACCCTGAAGCGTCGGACAAGCGCATCAGCGTTATCTTGTCCATCGCGGCGCGCATTCACGTCGAAGCGGAGGCCCGCCGCCCTGAGAGGAAGCAGGATTAGTCGCCGCAATACAGCCTCATCCTCCCTGACTGCGCCACTGTGGCATCCGTGTGCATCTCAAAACAGCAAAGCACGACTGCGGCAACCGCCAACGTTTCAAGGCCGTCCTCACCAGCAACATCCCCCCTTTCCAAACACAACCTTGTGTGGGATCTTCGTTGATGACTGCTGAAAGTCTGTTCTGTTCAGGCGTTCCACCTCAGCGTCGTTGTCGTTTGTGTCGCGTACGTGTGCTTCGTTTTCGCCATTCAAATCACAAACAAAACGTACAACTCAAACAAATACATGAATGAAGAAGAAAGACAAGACACAGCAAGTACGAGACAAGATGAAGCAGCATGTGACACCTCTCTTTCTCATCTTCCTCCGAGGTCATTCCTCTTCAGGCAGCATGCTGATGCTGCTGCTGCTGATGATGATGATAGCGATAGTGGTATCTTGTGTAATGGTGGTGTATGAACAGCTGAAGTAGCTTCGTTGCAAGCAAGCACGCCAGAGAGCGCACTTGGCAAAGTATGAACAGACAGAACAGAAAGACAGGAAAAAAATGAAGCCTGCAAAGAAAGCATCAAAAAAGGAAGGACAGGAAACAACGACGAGAAGAACAAAGACCGAGAACCTGGTGCACGAGTGTGCTTTGTTCATTCTCAAGACCACGCGTGGGACTTTCGTCGTCGTGCAGATGCTGCAATGAAGAAGTCAACATCATGTGAAGTGGGCGCGTGTGAGGGTTTGTGTGTGTGTGTGTGTGTGTGTGTGTGTGTGTGTGTGTGTGTGTGTGTGTGTGTGTGTGTGTGTGTGTTGTTGTGTACTAACATGCCGGGCAACACCCTTGAACGGACCTGATTGTGGACGATGTGCCTTGACCAAAATCTGCTATTATTCTACCCGCGGCATCCTAGAATAGCTTTTGATACGGTGAACGTTTAGGATACCAGCAATTGGACGTCGACAGGTAATGGGCTGTTGGACAGATCTTGTGGTACCTCGCAGTGTAGTGTGTGTGTGTGTGTGTGTGTGTGTGTGTGTGTGTGTGTGTGTGTGTGTGTGTGTGTGTGTGTGTGTGCGTTTTGTTGTCAAATCATCCTTCCTACCTCTCCCAGCTACGATCGATCTCAAAAAGCAAACGCATCATCACGCATCATGCACCGACTCCCAGTTTGACTCACGCAAGCGCCGTCGTCTGCCGCTTGCCGGACGGTCCGGCTGTCAACGGAATCATGGCGATGATGTGGTGTGAGCGCAGCGCGTCACCACAGCAGCACCACACAAGTGTCATAACACTGCAAGATGTTGTCTTCACACACACACACACACACACACACACACACCCACACACCAACACACAGTCACAACATTCCTTTGCTCGTCACCTCGTTTGCAAGCGCCTGCAGTGTGGATGCGCACTCCTGAAAGTTCTTGTTGATTGCATAATGCAAGGGTGTCATGCCCGAAATGTCGCGAAACTGGAGCTTTGCACCGCGTCGCACGAGCACCTTGCACACATCAGGTCGATTGCACACCGCAGCCCTGCACTCACGTGGTGTGTGTGTGTGTGTGTGTGTGTGTGTGTGTGTGTGTGTGTGTGTGTGTGTGTGTGTGTGGGAGAGGGTTGGGGGGGGGGGAAGGACGTGGTGACTCAACAAGCTTTCGCGAATGGCAACAACCACCAATTGCCAACAACAACAACAACAACCTTCCAAGCACACCCGTTGTCCTTCCCTTCTCCAACCACCACGACTACCGCCATCATCTACTCACCAGTGGAGGGGCGTGGTCATGCGGACGTCTGTGCAGTTGACGTCAATGTTTGTGCACGAGAGCAGCGTGGTGATGACCTCGAGTGAGCTCTGTGCCGAGATGGCGAGATGCAGGGCCGTTCGGCCCCGGTGGTCGCGTATATTGACGGCGTTCTCGGGCGATTCCAGCAGCGAGCGCACACACCGCGGGCTGTCGTTCGACACAGCATAGTGGATGGGGGTGCGCCCTGCGTATTCGTATGTGTGTTTGCGTGCGTGCGTGTGTGTGAACGTTTGTGAGGGAGAGTGTGAGAGAGTGCGTGTGTGTGTGTGTGTGTGTGTGTGAGTGCGTGTGTGTGTAAACGTGTGAGTGTGAGAGAGTGCGTGTGAGTATGTGCATGAGTGAGTGAGTGTGTGTGTGTGTGTGTGTCGTGAAGGCGGCGACATGAGCGATCGGATGATAGCATCCACACATGCCATCGTATTCAAGACGCGAAAGCAGCAGCAATCGCAGTCCACAAACAAACAGACACAGCAAAGCAAACAAAGCAAACTTAACGAAGCAAGCAACGCAAACCATAAAACCACACAACTCCCAGCGCACCTTCTGTGTCTGGTATCCTGACACTGGCGCCAGCCTTGACGAGGTGTGCCGTGTGGTCGCTGTGCTGGCAGAGCACTGCCCAGTGCAGCGCCGTCACGTGCTCGTCGTCCTGGTGGTTCAGCACCTCGGGCGTGCAATACTGATGGTGATGGTGATGATTTTTTGGGACGGGAGGGGGGTGGTGTGTGGGTGTGATGGTGTACGTGAGGTTTAAGGGGAAGTTCTTGTTGAGGTGCAGAGCAAACGGATTGCAAAACGCTGAATATTAGGGAGTACAGCACTGTCGCTCGCACACACACAGACACAGACACACAGACACAGACACAGACACAGACACACACATACACAGACACACACGTACACACGCACACACATAGCCGCACACGCACACACACACATAGACGCACACACACACGCCACAGTACCTTGAGCAAGATATCGAGGCTGCGTGTACTCTCGTGTTTGCAGCTCCAGTGTACGGCTGTGCGGCCCTCGGGGTCAGAGAGCATCACTGCCGTGGGGGCAGCGCGAAGCAGCAGCCGCAGCACCTGTCAAGTGGTGGTGGTGGTGGTCGAGGTGATGAACGAGATGCAAAGGAATGGACGCACGGGTTTTGTTGTGTCATGTCATGATCTTATGCACACAGGTGCACACACGCAGAGTTGAACCCTTCGCTCTGTCCCTACCCCACACCATGACCCAAACAGCGGTCATCACCAAATCATCATCCTCGCCATCACCTCGTGGTGGCCGTAGTACGCTGCCCACAGCACGGGCGAGCGGCCGTTTGTGTCTGTCAACATCACATCTGCACCGGCACGAAGCAGCATCTCAACAGCTTTGATCTGAAGCCCCGATGGTGAAGGGACATGGGATGGAAGAGGGTTGATCAAGGGAATGAGTACGCACGTGAGCCGCACAGTACCGTCAGCGCTGCGGTGGTGCAGATAGCACGCATGCACACAAGACAACATACACACAGGAGGGAAAATACACACGCATGCACACAAGACAATATACACACAAGACGGAGACACACACGCATGCACACACGAACACACACACGCATGCACGCACAAGAGCATATACACACACACACACAAACACACACACAAGCACATACAAGAGCACACCCAGAGCACGCACCTTGTTGGCGATTGACGCGTACATGAGCGGTGACCGACCCAGGGCATCCAAGCTGTCAACAGGAATGGTCTGATGGTGATGGGAGACGTGACAAGTGAAGGCATTATTAAGACAATGAGTACGCGGCAGAGGGAAAGGGTGCGAGGGAAAAGCACAATGGAACGGCAGTGAGCGAATCACGCGTCACGTCCATCACACACACACACACACACAGCACCATCAGCATAATCAACACCACCATCACACACACACACACAGGCAGAGAGGCAGAGAGACAGACAGAGAGACGGACAGAGAGACGGACACACACACACACACACTCATGCACATACTCACACGCTCTCTCTCTCACACACACTCATGCACATACTCACACGCTCTCTCTCTCACACACACACACACAGACCACCACCACCACCACCATTGCGTCACCTGCAGGAACTGCTTGAGGGCAATCTTGTCGCCCTGCCCCGCTGCTCTGTGCAGCAGCGATGCGCCATTGTCGTCTGTCGTCGCGTCGTCGAACATGAAACCGGCACTTCGCACCATGCTCGCCGACATCACCGTCTCGCTCGCGCCCTGTGGCGCGATGGAGGTAAGGTGAGGTGGTGTGCACGGGCGTTGGTGAATGTGAGTGAGTGCGTGAGTGAGTGAGTGAGTATGTGTGTGTGAGTGAGTGAGTGAGTGAGTGAGTGAGTGAGTGAGTGAGTGAGTGAGTGAGTGAGTGAGTGAGTGAGTGAGTGAGTGAGTATGTGTGTGTTAGTGTGCGCGCAATTGTAACCAAACACAAGAATGCAAACATTTGGACGCACCTCATCTGGCTGCGTGTCATCATCCTGTTGACAAACAGAGGGAGAGAGAGATGAAGTTCGAAACAGATGTTAAGTGAGGTGTTGGAGCTGTGCAGAGCAAAGGCATCTCCATGCAAGCAAGCAGGGGAAACCCCCCACCCATCCACCCACACCCACCCACCCACACACACACACACACACACACACACACACACACACACACACACACACACACACACACACACACACACACACACACACACACACACACACACACACTCAAACACTCATACTCTCACACACTCATACTCTCAGCGACGATGATGGTGATGGCGGTGGTGATGTGAGATGTGAGATGGGTAACAAGCGAGCACCGCACAATGTAAACGCACGCACACACCACCCCCTCCCCCCCCCCACACACATCAACGCACGATGGTGTTCGGCTGCTTGCTGGTGGTGACGGTCGCTGCTGCTGCTCCTGCACATGCGCGGGTGTCGGCGGTGACAACACCTGATGCTCCTCAAGGCCTGACGTGGGGAGGGCGAGAGAATTGGGAGGGGGTTGTTTGTATGTGTGCATATTTGCACAATGTGTGGAGGGAGGTGATGTTGATTGGTGTGGATGGCAACAAAGTGGTGTGAGTCAACAAAGAAAGTTGAATCACACACGAGGCGAGCGCGCGCAAGTGCGCGTGCATGTGTGTGTGTGTGTGTGTGTGTGTGTGCGTGTGTGTGCGTGTGTGTGTGTGTGTGTGTACGTGCGTGTGTGTGTGTGTACGTCAGCGCAGATTGTGCACACTTTGCATTACCACCACCGCCGACAACACTACACCACCACAACACCACCACCACCACCACCGCCATCACGATTGGTGCCCACCGCGTTGTTGGAGCGTGGATCGCGGGCGGGCGGCGGTTTGGCCGCTGTCAAACGCAGTGAACTGGCGATTATGGACGGGCAACGATGAGATGCAGGGACGAGGTGGAGGGCCATGGAAGCGAGAACAAGATGAAGGGCAATGAATGTGAGAGTAGGTATGCAGTGGAGTACGAGACAACGCAGGAGCAGTGTGCACGCACGCACCCGTGAGCACAAATCAGCGCACATGCGCACATACACACGCATGTACGCACCTGGTATAAGTCCTGCGCTCCAACACGGAATTCTTGCACCTGATCATTAGTATCACACACACGAAGAAATGAGCGCGAAAACCAGCAGCAAACAACAGCAGCAGGTGAAATAAAAACAAAAGCAACCCAGGAAGACACAACACTGCACCACCAGCATCAACACCACCTCAGCACACCACGATCAAGCACCAATCAACCACTCACGTTGTGTTGAAGACTGCGCACCAACCCCAGCTGTAGGAACTTTGCACCAATGCCCTGATATGATACGCACAGTGGGAGAATTCGTGAGCGTTGTAGTCCATGCAAAGGCTTGCTCTGTACCGCCCACAAGTACATACACACACACACACACACACACAAGCACACGCACACACACACACACACACACACACACGAAACACGCACCTGGGCCTTGTCGAGCGAGTCGATGCCTTCCATATTGGCCATGAACCAGCCGGCCGCAGCCTCGCCCGTGAACACATGCCGGTGCAGACGATGGTTGAGTGTCAGCGGCTGTGTTGGGATGCCCGTGTTGGGGTCCCGCAGTGCGCGCATGTACACCTGCAGCGACTGCAGCGGTTGTGTATCGTCGTCGTCCTGGTGGCGGTGAAGAGCAATGGCAGTGAGTGAGTGCGTGTGAGTGAGTGAGTGAGTGAGTGAATGAGTGAATGAGTGAATGAGAGTGTGTGTGAGTGAGAGAGTGAGTGTATGTGAGTGTGTGTGAGTGAGTTTGTGTGCACTCATGCATGTTTCACCCCGATGCTTCGCTCTGTCGCACTCACGCACACACAGACACACACACTCACGCACGCACACACACAACGGAGCAACATCATCTTTGCATTCGCCACTCTACTCTCTCATCAACTCACCGGCACATCTGCGTCTGTCACGACGACGTCCGATGCCGACAGCCCACTGGTGAACGCAACACGAACGCAAGCGACGGGTGAGGACAGCTGACGCAAATGCCACACACACACACACACACACACACACACACACACACACACACACAGAGACAAACAGACAGACAGACACACACACACACACACACAGACAAACACAGACACACACCTGTGTTCCGCTGAGAGTGGTGACGTTCTGCGTGGAGATGATGGCGATGGATGCTGCTGCTGCTGCTGCTGCTGCTGTCGCAACCCTCCACCACCGCTGACAGCACCACCGCCGTGAGCCTGTTCCGTGTGCACCATGCTGTGTGCGCGGCGTTTGCCTGCAGGCACGGCGAGCGTTTCGCGCTCCTTGTCCACGTGTCGCTGCCTCGCCTCCTCCCCGTGTCCGCCTGAGCGTGCGCGCCCACTCGTCGGACGAATGGGCCGATCAAATCGCCTGTGCAGCAGCCCTTGCATCGCCTGCTGACGCTGCTGTTGGTGCTGCTGCTGCTGTTGGTGCTGTTGACGCTGTTGGTGGCGCTGTTGTTGTTGGTGCTCGTCGTTGGTGCTGTCAGCACTTTCATCTCCAACACCACCGCCACCATCACCATTGACACCACCGCCAT